CCTGTCCCAAACATATGCTCAATCTCAACACCACAGTACCCATCTCCCCCTACCTCTCACCCACCGTAGTGCTCTCAAAGACCCCAATTGGCACAATGCTATGTGTGAAGAGTTTAATGCATTGATTAAGAATGATACATGGGAACTAGTACCCCCCTCCCACCACCAAAATATCATAACCGGAAAATGGCTTTTTAGGCAAAAACTTGGCCTTACATGTGAGTTAACCAGGTACAAAGCTCGATGGGTTCTTCGTGGCTTCAACCAGAGATTTAGAGTCGACTATGATGAGACATTTAGCCCTGTGATCAAGCCCGCTACTATATGCATCATTCTCAGCCTTGCTCTCTCTCGAGGATGGCCGATCCATCAGTTAGATGTCAAAAATGCCTTTCTTCATGGCCATCTGCAGGAAGTTGTCTACGCCTCTCAGCCATCAGGATTCCAGGATCCTCACAGGCCCAACTATGTATGCAGGCTCAAGAAGGCTCTCTATGGCTTGAAACAGGCTCCTCATTCGTGGTACCAACGATTTGCTGGGTTTATCTACACGCTGGGTTTTCAATGGTGTAAGTCGGACACCTCTCTCTTTATCTACTCCCATGGGACGGACACTGCCTACCTCCTCCTTTATGTTGATGACATCGTCCTCACAGCTCCCTCCGCCTCTCTCCTTCAGCGCCTGATTGAGCGCCTTAAGGGGGAATTTGCTATGACTGACATGGGCGACCTTCATTTTTTCTTGGGCATCAATGTTCACCAGACAGCTCATGGTCCTTTTCTACATCAGACACAGTTCACGCACGACATCCTTGAGCGTGCCGGCATGATCACACTTCGTCCCATCTCCACACCAGTCGACACGAAGGCCAAACTGTCTGGTACATCAAGCTCCCTGGTAGCCAACCCAGCTCTCTATCGCTCCATAGTTGGAGCCCTCCAGTATCTCACATTCACCAGGCCAGACATCTCCTACTCTTTTCAGCAGCTCTGTCTCCACCTACACGCCCCCCGAGATATCCACGTCACGGCTATGAAGCGTGTCCTACGCTATCTCCGTGGCACCTCCACCTACGGTATGACTCTGTCTCCCTCTAGCATAGATTCTCTCCGGGCCTATTCTGATGCTGATTGGGCGGGGTGCCCCGACACTAGACGATCCACATCTGGCTATTGTGTATTCCTTGGGGACAACCTCATCTCTTGGTCTTCCAAACGCCAAGCCACCATTTCCCGATCTAGTGCTGAAGCTGAATACTGAGTCGTCGCCAATGTCGTTGCCGAAACCAGTTGGATCCGAAATCTCCTTCTAGAGGTACAACAGCCCCTACGCCGCGCCACACTCATTTTCTGTGATAACGTTAGCGTTGTTTACCTCTCCACCAATCCGGTCCAGATTAGAGTCCTTCATGTGCCATCCTCATCACAGTACGCCGACATATTCACAAAAGGCCTCCCATCCATATTATTTCAAGATTTTCGGATAAGTCTCGGGATTCGCCCACCACCGACGCAGACATAGCCGGTAGTATGTTAAATATATTCTATATTTATGTAAAATATATATTCTATATTTATTGTACACATATTGTTTCCTATTGTAAAATCCTACCATGATTAGGATTAGGAATAGCTTGTGTATATAAACCCATGTATTCCCACAATATTGTTCAAGGAAAATCACAATTCTTGAATGTTTATATTTTGTTTCTCTATTGATATTTCGAAGTATAAGAAATTTTTATATACAAAATAAATGTGTAGACAAATAAAATATGTGCAGACATATAAAAATATGTGTATATGTGTGTTGTGTATATCTTTTTATCATATGAAGTTATCTTAGAATATCATAAATCATGAAAACAAAGAAAATAATTATCCCATAACAAATTATAGTTGATTTAATAATAGTTTGGCTTTATTCTAATTTGAAATTAAAGTATTGTTTGATTTGTTTTTAAAAATTGGAAACGGATACGGATATATCTGATATCCGACCGATATCCGACGGATGCGGATACGGTTTTGATTTTCAGTATCCGTCAAGATCCGTATCCGAATTCGATATCCGACAAAAATAAACGGATACGGATTTGGTAATGGCATATCCGATTCGATTAATATCCGTTTACACCCCTATGTGCACTGAATAGCTTGAAAATGTGTGATGGGATCGGGAAGCCAATGCATTGTTTGCGCGTGTTTTAAGGTGTTGCATATACTCATTTTTTAAATAATGCTAGAGTTACAAACAAATAATTTACGGAATTTACAAAATTTTTTTAATATTTTACTAAAAATAAGATACACTCAAATAATTAAAAACACTTTAATTTTATAATTACAAAAAGTAAGTTTTGTAAGCGATTTGTTATTGACTCTAGCATATTTTACTAAAAATAAGATACACTCAAAAAATTAAAAATACTTTAATTTTATATTTACAAAAAGTAAGTTTTGTGAACGATTTGTTATTGACTCTAACACTTGTTTTCTGTATCTATGATTATTGGAACTGCGGTAAAAGATCAGTTTTTTTACCTCCACTTAAGGGCGGAAAATGTTCCAGTTCAGAACCAGAAGGTTCCAAAATCAGAACCGCAACCCCTGGGAGAACTAGAATTGTCTGAAATTATTGAGAAATGGTTCAAGTTAGGGTTTTATATTTTGATTACTAAGGTCATGTTCTTTTCACCTAATTTGATTGGCTCTAATATGATTGAAATAAGATCTGATCTGATTTGATTAAGTCTGGTTTGAATGTAGTTATATTTAAAGTTATTTTTGATCTGATATGGTCTGATCTGATATGGCCTGATCTAATCTGGTTCCAATAAGAATAAGTAATAAACACAAAAAATAAGTTGGGAAGAACATGACCTAAAACTGGAATTTTGGAATCTTTTCAATTTTTTTTGTTTTTCAAGTTTATTTTCAAATTGTTTGGGTTGATTTAGGTAGCGTTTCGTTCAACTTATTTTTTGCTTATTATTTATTCTTATTATAATTAATCAGACCAGACCAAACCAGATTAGGTCAGAAACAATTTAATTATAACTGCAATCATATCGTATCAGACCAGATCAGATTAGATTAGATCTTCAAAAAAATTGATCAGATCAGGAGAACGGAGTGTAGCCTTACAATATTCACATATAACAAAAGCGTAGTAACATTCATTAAGAATACAATCAGAACCCTTTTGGAACGGGAATCCCTGCCCACAAGTATCCTTCATGGTTCAACCCAAGACGACATTATTGGAAACGGGTGGTTCTAAAATGAGACCATATCAGTACCGTGTATCCCTCTACCTATGATGCATCAACTTTTACCATAAGTTTTCACTTTTCCACAAATTCATTTCAAACCAAAAGGAAAAAATTACTCTCATACTTCCTCCGTTTCTTAAAACTCTTCCTCTTTCATTTTTTTGTTTTTCTTAAAACACTTCCTTTTTCTATTAAAAACTACTTTTACCTTTACTTTTTCATACCGTACATATCACATTATACTTTTTCACTAATAACTAAACTATCAATCTTACTTTTACCCATCACATCAGGGACAAAATTGGAAAGTCAACTAAAATTACACTTATTTTTTTCTCCAAAGTCAAAACAGGAACCGTTTTGAGAAACGGAGGGAGTATGACCAATGTTTACTTAAAAACTCCAAAGTCTATATTTTTGAATTACATTCAAGGACTTTGAGGATGTGTTTGGTGAGTAAACAAGATTTGAGTTTTGATATCTTCAGATATCAAATTTTTTTGGGTGTTTGGCAAAGCAAAAAAGGATATCGAATTCAATATCTCCAGATATCATAAATCCTTCAAATGAAGGGTTTCGATATCTCCCAAATTTGGGAGATATCAATATGAGGGTTTGATGCCTCTCTCAAGTATTGATCATTCTCCGTCACCGGCTACCATTGTCACAGCCAACAACCTCTGTTGCCGGTCACCCTAGCTTATCACTAATTAAATTATGAATTTGAATCTCTCCAAACAATTTCATTTCAGATTTCAAAACTCGTATCATTTTTCTCAGTTTTCATAACTCGTATCTTATCATATCTCCAAAATTTACTAAATGGACACTAAATTTAACGTCAAATTCTAAGAGCATCTCCAAAGTTGGTAATGCAAATTTCATTTTACACTATCAATAGTGTTTTACACTTTTACTTTTTGATACTTACTACAACCATATTTTGTATACTCTATATAGTATACTACCTAATACATTTTTATTTTTTTTCCCTATCTATAGTCAACTTGTTAAAATACACTTTGCCAACTAGATTTTACTGTATATTGTATTTTAGCAGTTGTTTTGCACTCTCTTGGAATGTTAAAAAGTCAACCATAAAGTATATATTGTGTAAGTTTTAGCACATAGCCTATACGAATTGCCCAAGGGGCGACAATGGAGTGTCGGCGTTTAAAAATAATTATAAAGCAATGCTAGAGGTACACCAAAAGGTGTACCCCATTTATCCCCCACCCCTTTATCCACCATTCAATTTTATTTTATTTTTATTTATTTAATTTTGTTTTAGTTTCTTGCCTTTTTGTGTGGTGATGGAAGGGGTGTGGGACAAATGGGGTACACCTTTGGTGTACCCCTAGCATTTTTCATAATTATATTACCAAACATTTGATGCTGTCTTTAGAGTAATTTTCTTGGTGAGAATGGTGACAACTCCACCGAATGTCAGTGCAACTTCGACCTCTCACCCACCACCTTCAAATCTCACCTTGACCTAGCCGGCAATGGGGATGCACAAGGTTCTAAGTTGAGAACAGTTACAGTCGAGAATCCGGCTAAATTTCAAGAATGATACTTGAAAAACTTTGATTTGGTACTTTAATTTTAAAACTTTTAACAAAAGTCGTTGAACTTTTGTCATTGTTTCACTAATAATCTGTTTGCCCATTACCAGGTGACCATCAGGTAACTTTGGACTAAATTGTAAAATTTAACTTTTTATTTTTCATATTGAACCCCACGTCATTTTTTTGTCACACTCTCATAATTTATATTCTTTTATTTTTCAATCCATTTCCCTTTACGTGGTAGGACATGCAGAGGATAATGAAGTTTTTTATGGTACGCTTCATAACTTAACTTGACTGCGATTAGCTGATTTACATGTGTTTCGAATGTGCTTATCTATATGAAATCTGTTAGCATGTGTTTTGAGTTGGTGTTAGATAAGGGAATTTTGGTGACGAAATTCTTTTAAGTGGGAGAGAAATGTGAAATGTAGCGACCCAAAAACCAGCTTAGTAGTTAGCCGATTAGTAGTTAGCCGTTATTTGAATAAAGATAAATATATTATTTATTAATTTGAAAGTATGAATTATTTTTAAAGTAGTTAACATTTTTGTTAAAAAAATTAGGTTTCTAGCCTTCTAGGTAGATCTCGTAAAATGTTGAAAAATGGTATATGGTTTCTTAAGTTTAGACTTACGTGTAGAGCGTGATGAATAAAATAAAAGTTGCAGTTCCATAAATAAATATAAATATTTTATAATATAATAAAAATATACTCCGTATATAATACTCCCTCCGTCCCAAAAAGATCGTTACATTTCTTTGCGCATCACAAAAAGCAATGCTACTCACATCTAAAAATTCTAAAATTTACCATATTTACTCTTTATTATAAGATTAAATTGTTTTGAAAGTTTTTTTGGCATTTGAAATGATATAAAAGTATTTTAAGGGATGCGCAAAAAATGAAACGTAACGATCTTTTTGGGACGGAGGGAGTATTTCTTAAATCTAACCTACGGCAAAAAGTTAACACCCTCCCCCCATATATATAACATATACGCACACGGAAAAATAAAAAAACGAAATACGGAGTAGGTCGACAGAACAAAGTCCGAAGGAAGATGAAGGATTGCTAATTGCCACCACTGCTCCGCCGCCGCTACCTCGAGTCGTCATCCAGATTGCCGAGAATTGATCGCCGCCGTTCATCTTCGTTGTTTGATTTGTTGATTTGTTTTAATTCTTCAAATAATCGAGGTGAGTACGTGGACATCTAACGCTAGATTACTTGTATAGATTTGAAATTTACGTTTGTAACCTCGTATGATTGATTTTTTGATCTAATTGGTTATAATTTGAGTTATGTTTTATTTAAGTTATATAATGTTATTAGAATTGATTGGTCGAGGAAAGCCAGATATGTTTTCTTACTCTAATTGCATGATTTGTGTGTTAATAATCTCTACAAACATTAAGAATACTGAACGTATCGAAAATTGGATCGTACATCGTCTCTGTAAGTTTTCCCGACGCCAGACGGTACCATGGTACCATCCATGGTACCATCCATAGGGTATCCAGCTACTGCCTCAGGTGTAGGATTCTGTGACTACCGAAGATAGACGGTAGCTAGATACCACCTAATCGTACCCGGCTACCGCCACATGCTATTCGCCTCTATCGGACTTTGTACCCGGATGGTCAGGTGGTGCCCGACCGTCGGTATCGGGGTACCGTAACAGGTACCATGTATGACCCCCAGCCGCTATTCTCTTATTTGTTTGTTCTGATTCGAACCCCAAATTGATTTCAGGGTCATGAGTGTCGCTGGTTGGTAAGTGGAAGGTGTTTACATCCGACACTATGTCGTTAATTGTTAAGTATGTATGTTTATGAACCTTACTGATGATTATGTATGAGTTTTAGAATACAAAATTATGAACTTAAATATAGATAGGCTACCTAGCTGAACTGTATGTAGACCGAGAAACAGAATAAGAATAAAGTTATGAATTACTAGTCATGTGATGAGTCGGCGTGCACGTATGACTAGTTGGGTAAAGCGTGCGCACAGGGTCATGGATATATTCATGGATGTGAGTATGTGGTCCCACCCAGCTGACGTTAGATGATGTTGTATCGAGCGGGTTCTTTATGGATGAGGTTGAATTAGGACTCTAGAAAGAATAAAGAATTGGCCTTAGCCTAGGGTGGGTTATAAGCTTAGAATTAAGGAAATTGTTTATGAGCTTTGCATATGGATTCTGTGTTATAAATACCTAAGTTAAGAATGAGATAAATTTAGTAATCGAGGTAAGGAGGTTAAATTTATGAATTGTTTGATATTATTGATATTGTAATTGTTTTACAAATTATTGTGTTTGGATACCAATTTAGTGACAACCTGATTTGTTGGTCCATGTATTTGGGCTGCACGAGTCGAGGTGCAACAATCTATAAGAGATTGAGATGCAAGACATATTTGTCTAAGTGCTTACTAAGCAAAGCTACTTACTACTTGAGGGGAGAAAGTAATGAATTACCACTAAGATATATATAAAACGGTGAAACTCTACCTATCAGCTTTTGGGTTAAAAACTTGATGCCAACTTTATATGCAAATGGTTAATTTTACCTCACATTCTACTTGTTGTTCTCGGTGCATCTGAATTTTAACACATACATTCGCGTGAGTACTCATTTTCGAGTAATCGAATATAACATTTTTTAGTATAACTAAATTTAGAAAAATGAACATTCAGTTACTAGTAAACGAGTACTCATCGTGAATGCACAAGATATATGTTGGGATTCCTCCAAGTCCCACACCGGATGAGTAGGAGTAAATGAACCAAAATATATAGGTTCACCCAACCCCATTAGTATGAGGCCTTTTGGGAGGTGCCCAAAAACAAATCCGTGAGGGCTTGGCCCAGAGCGGACAATATCATACTAATGCGGGGTTGGAGTGAGGGCACGCGCAGTCCCAACATTATACCATATAAAATAACCGGTTGTACGACATATATTATTTTGAAAAAGAGAAATTTACCTAAATCGGACTAAAACATAATGACTTTGTCAATATAAGATCATATGTTATTATTTCTCAATGTAGGACCTTTGGTCATTATCAATTAGTCATTATTCAAGTAAATGTCCATCATTACTGGACACTATTTCTCCAACTAGACATTATTAAGTCCTATTTAAGGAATACAAAAGTTTAAGTCCCACATTGAAAAATGACTTATGTTTTAGTCCTATTTAATGCAAATTTCACTTTGGAAAAAAGAGTATGCTTCATTAATTCGATTTCTTAACTTAATTAATAGAAAAACGAACCACATCCATTTTTTTTAAAAAAATAGAAAAACTAACCACAACACAACACCAAAAGAAAGACACAAATGCATAGCTAATAATTAGGGTTAGATCATATCATAGATTTCTCTCATCAAAATCCAAATTCCAAAGTTTGACTTCACGATTCACCCAATTAATTAATTATTCTTAGGAGGGTGTGGCCTTGGCATATGATAATCAGCACTGAAAGCTACGAAGCTCTCTCCATGGTAATCTTTATTGAAATCACTTGAACTTGTAACCCTCATTCTTCTTTCCCTTCTCATCATCATCTTTCTCTCATTCGTTGCTGCATTCATGCTTGTTGTGGATATCTCATTTTCGCCTTCGTTTTTTCCCTCTCCCATCATTTTCCTTACTTCTTTTTTCGCGTTTGTTGCCTCATAGTCACCGTCCCTTGAAATAATATCCTGAAATTTGATTAATTATCTGTCATGTGTGGGTAGAAGTTGTTTTTCTATGCTTAGTTTTCTTGTAAAGTGATTATTTTGATAGCAGAATTTAAAAGCATTTCCCGGGCTCCCATCCTCTTGAGAAACGTTTAGAATGAGAAACTACCAATAAAATTAGAGCAACTTTCATAATTTGTCCGTTATAACAGGTAATATTTCAGTATTCTATATTCAAACATTACTCCATGTTGTCCTTTTATAGGTACATTTCTACAAATAGTTCTTTTTTTTACCTTCTGTCATGTTGGTGTTAATCTGAAAGCTAGAAATATAATTTGACATTAACCTTGTATCCAGTGACGTATTCTAATGTCGGTTAGATGGGCAACACAATAATAATGACTATGACTACATGTGGACTATGATTCCGACGAAAGACCACATATGTAGATTAGGATTGTAGTAGAAAGCGATTCACAAATGACGTATCAAGAGCGACCTCTGAATTTGTGTATGATAATAGAAATATATTATCATTGTGAATTTACACTTTTCTGTGGGATTCCCATGACATTGGAATCCCATGTCATGGGATGACCCGGGGGCGCTTCGGTGCCTCACTCGTAAAATTGAGGGTTCTTCCCCCCACACAACCCCCCGGTAAACCACCCCACCCCGCCTCGACCCGAACATACCCCCAACCCCTTCAATTGCACACCACAAGTTGATTTTGATTTTAGAGTCAAATTTTGACTCCAAAGTGAATAGTCAAACTTTATTCACTGTCTTTACATATTTTCGTTAGTTATTTGACAAAATAATATAGTCATGTCACCTCTTGTTGTATAGAACTTTTAATGTAGTTTTAAAATATTCCCTCCGTCCCAAAAGGATTTGGACATTTTGACTTAAGTGGTAAAATAAGGATGGATAATTTTATATTGACTTTCTAAAAATATCATTGATGTGATGAGTAAAAGTAGGATGTGATGGGTAGATTATTAGGAAAAAGGTATGATGTGATAAGTAGGGTATAAAAAAGTAAGGGGTAAAAGTGGTTTTTTATTAGAAATGGGACGGACTTTAAGGGACACAATTTTTTCGAAACGGGACACACTTTTTGGGACGGAGAGAGTATAATATTAATTTTTTTTAATTTTACATCTATAATCACATAAATTGAAAATAATTTCAATCAAACTTCGTAAACCGAACTGAGAAGATCATTTTAGGACAGAGGGAGTATTGAATTTTTATTTTTTAATTTTACACCTACAATTAAATAAATTAAACTAAAAATAAGGTTGGTCAAACATCGTAACGCGGACCAGAAATATTCAAATGGGACCAAGGGATTATTTACTCCCTACCATACGCCCACTTTGATTTTTTCGTGTTTAACTTTTATGATTAATATTTTTAAACTTTAATTTGATTATAAATTGAGGAATTTACTTAAATAGCACTAAAACATAATGACTTTCTCTAAATAGCACCACATGTGTTTTTCTTCCTAATATAGCACTTTTAGTCATTATGCATTAGTCATTATTCAAGAAAATATTGGTCATCACTGGACATTATCAAGTGTTATTTAGGGAATAAAACAATTTAAATGCTATTTAGGGAAATGACCTAAGTTTTAGTGCTATTTAGTGCAAATATTTTTTATTAAATTACATAAAAAATACATTAAATTGCATGTGATAGAAATTTTAACAACAATAAATTTATTCTTAAATATATAATTTTGAAATATCATATTGTTATAATATATATCTATCCATAAGTAAATATATTCATAGTTAAAAACTTGAATTGAAGACATGAAAAGTCGATCAAATGAGAAAAATCTAGAGGGATGAAGTAATATACTCCGTAACATATACACCCCGACGTACCTTGTTCTCCATGTGTGTAAGAGGGTTACCTCTCTTCATTGGAAACCCATTATGATTATGATCATCCTCAACCATTCTTGTGCCTATAAAGTTCAAGAGAAGAAGAAGAAACTATGAAGAAATTAAAGTTACTCAATAAAAAAACTATATATTGTGATTGGAGACCTAAATAAAGGGTTCTAATTCAACCTCACTTTAACACCCGGATTTGTTTGTTTAAACTTTGCACCTAAACATTAATTGTTTAAAGTAACTTATGGGCTGTTTGGAAACTTCTGAATAGGTAAGTGCTGAACCAGTAAGAGGTCTGAACCATTAAGTGATGAACCAGTAAGAGGTCTGAACCATTAAGAGTTAGTATATTGTTTAACTATTCAGAGGCAAATGTCTGATCAATTCAGATAAGAGGTCTTAACCATTCAGACTCTGTTTAATACTTAACCATTCAGACATCTGAACCATTAAGAGGCTGAAACAAACAGTCTGAACCATTAAGTGCTGAACCATTCAGACATCTGAACCATTAAGAGGCTGAAACAAACAGCCCCTTAGAGTAATGTTTGAACTTCTGATGACTTTTATGTCCGTTTAGTTCTAA